CAAGATATGTTTATTTTTGTTGTTTTTCATTCTCTCTTCTGACAACCAGAGTTTGGTGTTACAGATTTACAGTTTTGGAGTTTAAAAAGAACCTTTTGACAACGGTCCCCTCACAGTAAGTACTGGTGCAGGGGAGCTAAATCTGAGGTCCTGATATTTCACAGTGATGAGCAGATTCTGAATGAACTCCTTCAGCATCGTGGTTTAGATTGAAGCTCTATGGGAGCTAGTGTACGTTATTATTAATTTGCCCTTCTTTCTGAAAAGCTGCCAAACTGGAATGGCAAGCATTGGAAGAGAGTGGTTATGCAGGAAGTCTCCAGCCAACAGACTGACTTCCAAAGGTCTTTTTGAAAGTCAGTCGATTGGTGCTCATTGACTCTCCCACAGAAACAGTGTGTATAATTCAGTTCCTTAGCCAAAGGGATAAGGCCTGTTTTAGCCGGAGAGTTACTGTGGTTCAGCCACATTGTGACACGTGGTTCATGCAGAGGGGCTGCTGTTGCCACCTGGGAAGGTGGGACTCAGCGTCTCGTGTTTTTGCCGCCTGTTGTTTTTCAAGAACACTCCTGGGGAAGGTCTTGCACTTCCCTAGTGACCTGAGGCGGACCTGACATTGGGGAGGGGGTGTGATGAGGAGGGGGAGCTCTGTGACGCTGACCCATGTTGGGCTTTCCCCTCTGCCATTTATTAGTTACAGCCATGGGCCTGTTGCCTTCAACCCTTGAGTTTATTTTCCGTGTAAAGTGGGCCCCACATAGTGTGCATAATAGCTGGGTAGTGCTAACTGTGAGCTTGTGTAAGCCCTTTGCATACATGAACCATTTAGTTTTCACTGTAGCTCTGTGGGGTTGGAACTGTTGTCATCCTTTACAGATGGGAAAAGTGAAAGTGAAAGTCGCTCAGTCGTGTCTGACTCTTTGTTTCCCCATGGACTATACGGTCCATGGAATTCTCCAGGCCAGAATACTGGAGTGGGTAGCCGTGCTCTTCTCCAGGGGATCTTCCCAACCCAGGGATCGAATCCACGTCTCCTGCATTGCAGGCAGATTCTTTAGCAGCTGAGCCACCAGGGAAGCCAACTGAGGCACAAAAGCTGAAGGAGTTTTCCTACCATCGTGCAGATCTAGGGTTCAGATCCCTCGAGCCTGGGTCCAAAGTCTTGATTTATAACTCTCTCACTCAACCACTTGTCCAGAAGCACTGCTCTGAGGTTGCTGGGAGGCTTGCTGGTGGCTCAGTGGTAAAACACCCACCTGGCTATGTAGGAGATGTGAATTTGATCCCTGGCTTGGGAAGATTCCCTGGAGCAGGAAATGACAACCTGCTCCAGTGTTCTTGCCCAGGAAAGCCCATGCACAGAGGAGCCTGGCGGCTAGAGTCAGACACGACTGAACGAGGTTACTAGGAGGAGTAAACGAGGTAGTATGTCAGGGGTCTGGCTCAGCAAATGTCAGCTCCCTTCTTCAGCTCTTTAGTAGTCTTTGAGGAACCCTGTATTTTCATGGCTGACTGTATACTCAATCAAATTATGAATTCCCTGTATCAGCAAGGTAAATTTTAATAACATAGTAGTACTTGGCTTGACCTGTCTATACATTACCCTCTTATTGCAGGTGGAAATCCCCAGTCAAAATTCAGGCAGTTTTGGGGTGAGTGGAAAGGAAGGGACAGACCCTGTGAAGGGTCTGCCCAGCACATGGTGGGGTTGCTTGGTGTCAGGCACCATCAGTGGCTGGAAAGTCTGAGGCATCAGAGCACGTGCCGTTGGCAGGTAGGGCCATCTCTCTGGGGTGGTTCTGAGTTATACTCAGCTCTTTCTTAGTTTAGGTTCTAGTGGGAGAAATTAACCCTTTGATTAAAAGTTACATGTTCAGTAAAGGAACTGAATTCTAAGTGGGCAGATTCTGATGGATCATCTCAAAATCAGGGCTTCCTTCCACCTGACAAATCCATTTCTCACCTGTGACAAACCATGGCAGTTTTCTAATGCTGTCTGTCATGTACAGCATATACCTGTGTGTGACTTCACCTGCATTTATATATATCCTAAGATCTGTTGGAGGAGGGCATGGCATTTCACTCCAGTATTCTTACCTGGAGAATTCCATGCACAAAGGAGCCTGGTGGGCTACAGTCCCCCAGGGGTAGCAAAGAGTTGGACGCAAATGAAAAGACTTAGCATGTACGTGCCACGTAAAATAATTTAGAGTGGACCTAGGGATTCCCTGGTGGCTCAGGTGGTGAAGTATCCACCTGCAATGTGGGAGGTATGGGTTCGATCCCTGGCCTGGAATATCCCCTGGAGAAGGAAACAGCATCCCATGCCAGTACCCTTGCCTGGACAATCCAGTGGACAGAAGGGCCCTGCAGGCTACAGTCCGTGGGGTCGCAGAGAGTCAGACACGACTGAGTGACTTCAGTTGGGTGTATGGAATTGCTGTAGGAAAGCTCTGTCTTTCTAAAGAAGTTTCTGACATTAAATTTTTATCTAAGAACAACTGTTTTAGACACAGTTTTTTTTTTTTTCCCTTTTTTTTTTTTTAGTTGGAGGCTAACTACTTTACATCATTACAGTAGTTTTTGTCATAAATGAATTAGCCATGGATTTACATGTATTCCCCATCCCGGTCCCCCCTCCCACCTCCCTCTCCACCCGATCCCTTCCTGTATGCAAAACAGAAAAAGAGACTCAGATGTATAGAACAGACTTGTGGACTCTGGGAGAAGGCGAGGGTGGGATGTTTCAAGAGAACAGCATAGACACAGTTTTATACACATATGTAGCACAAGCTGGAGGAACCTTACCACTATAGGAATATTGGATGTATCAGCATTATAGAAATTAATCTTCCTCTATTAGATGTAAACTAAGGAAAGTTCTGTTGAGTGTGTCGGCAGCTTAAATGTTATATTTTGATCTGTATGCTGAACTTCTTTACCAAAGAAATCATTAATCTGGGCAAAGTCCAGCAAAATGTTAATGGTAATAGTTAGGGAAGGAAAGTTATGACCAACCTAGATAACATATTAAAAAGCAGAGACACTACTTTGCCAACAAAAGTCCATCTGGTCAAGGCTATGGTTTTTCCAGTCATCTTGTATGGATGTGAGAGTTGGACTGTGAAGAAAGCTGAGTGCCGAAAAATTGATGCTTTTGAACTATGGTGTTGGAGAAGACTCTTGAGAGTCCCTTTTGGACTGCAAGGAGATCCAACCAGTCCATCCTAAAGGAGATCAGTCCTGGGTGTTCATTGGAAGGACTGATGCTGAAGCTGAAACTCCAATCCTTTGGCCCCCTCATGGGAAGAGTTGACTCATTAGAAAAGACCCTGATGCTGGGAGGGATTGGGGGCAGGAGGAGAAAGGGACAACAGAGGATGAGATGGCAGGATGGCATCACTGACTCCATGGGCATGAGTTTGAGCAAACTCTGGGAGTTTATGATGGACAGGGAGGCCTGGCGTGCTGCGATTCATGGGGTTGCAAAGAGTCGGACACGGCTGAGCGATTAAACTGAACTGAACTGAACTGAATAGTTAGAGATGTGTAGTGTGTTCAGTTGGAGCAAACTGAAAAGAATTAAAGGTGCAGTCGTGCTTGGGAAGATAACGATTTAAGGTGTAGAAGGTGAATACAAGGCTGCAGGGCCCGTTCTCGTCTCACCTGGGGCCCTCTGGGACTGAAAGGTGTTGCTGACCCCTGGCCCACACCATCTCAGGCAGAGCAGGGCACCGTGGTCCTCCTGCAGGGTGAACGTCGATCTTTGTTGTATCCTGGAGTTCCAGAATCAGTGTTTCTTTAAACTCAAGAGACAAAATGATGGCAAAACTAAAGAGGCAAACACTGCACAAATTGTGACAAATGGAGAGCTTCAAAATTGAAGATCGTTACAACGTTCGCAGCTTAAACCAGCATGCGCTTGTCATCTAGCAGATCCACTGCCAGGTGAGGCTCTGATGAGAGCTGACCTCTGGCCAGGGCACCAGCTGTAGCCTTGCAGAGGGCACAGGTTGTGGGGGCCTGGCTTTTGGCCACCTGTCTGTAGGGACAACCCTCAGCACTGAGAGGTCACCTCCAGTTCCTGGCCGTGGACCTCTTGTCCGTGGGACCCCTCCTCCATGTAGCCCTCCCCTCCACGTGGCCCCCCTCTGTCCTGGGATGGTCCTCTGAGCGCCTGGCAGCCTGTTCCTTCAGAGCCAGTCAGTGAGTCAGCCAGCACGCCAGGGAGTGGTGCAGAGTCTTCTACCACTAAAGACTCATCCCACAACCTTCGTCAGATTCTTTTGGTTAGAAGCAAGCTGCCGGCCCTTCCTGCTTTCGAGGGGGGCCCTTTAACTGTCCACCACAGTGATGCCGTCCCAGCAGCTTGTCAGTGTGAAGTCAGCCTGACTGAGGCCTGTTTCTCCCCTTGTGTTGTAAACGTCCTACTTGTGATTATTTTCTATGACAGGGCCGCCTCTTTCTAAATGAATTTGTTATGTGAATCACTTCTCTGGCAGTTCATCGTGTTTCCCATTCTGTTTTAACCAAGCGCAGTCTTCTTTCCTAAAGAAAAACAGACGTCTCTCGGGTAGACACTTCAGTCACGTGCCGCTGTGCACCATCTGCAGCCCAGAGCGTCTCTTGACCAGCCTGTGTCTTCTTCCTTCCCACCTGCTGTACACCTCCTGGGTTATTTTGAGGCAAATCCCAGGTACCATGTTATCACTGAAATTAACTTTTCCTGTTGGGCCCTGGTTCTCCTCTCCTACACTGTGGGTTCCCTGCGAATAGGTGTCGCTTAGTCTACATCTTGGTTTGTCCTGGTGGTGCCAAGTGGGCAGGCAGCTACACACGTGTGCAAAGTCATTTCAGAATCCGTATTGCTTTCCACATGGACCCGTGATGGCGAAGCAGTCCCTTGATAACAAGACTCCGCAGTAACTAAGGCCTGCAGTGGGAGGATTCCTAGATGGAATCCTGCCTGAGTTCTAGCCAGAAGGAACCCCATTCACACAAAGCTCATGTGTTCTGGGTGGGGGAGACGTGTCCTGGCCCCCTCCCCAGCGCACTCCTGGCTGCACTTGATGTATGGTTGTATCCTCTATAGAGAGCAACAGATATCTTAGGATTTGTGTATTTCATAGACCTCAGTGGCTAAGTGTTTATGTAAAATGTTTGGAGGTGCAGCTGATACTGTAAAGCGTTATCTGTATTCAATTTATAAATTTTGTTACACTTAGAGATCTGAGATTTAAAAAAAAAACAAAACTGTGAATGTTTTCATTCATTTTATGATGCAGCTGCATTCATCTTCAGGCTGCTTGTAGGTGCCTCTAGCAGCAGCGTTTTGTTCCTGATGTCTCTGTCACCTGGCCCAACTGGTCAGCATGGCATCTCTCTCGTTTAAGTGCATCACGTGTAAGTCTCTTTTTATGACGCTGGTGGATACTGTGGCTTGGGATGGCATTCCTGTTCACAGACTATGGACCACTGTTTTTTGTCTGCCTGTTTGCTGATATCCCCACATAATATATCACTGATTGCTGACCTAGTCTCTCCTTTATAAAAGTGAGTTTTAAAAGAATATTTATTTTATTTATTTGGCTGCACTGGGTCTTAGTTATGTGGCATGTGGCATCTAGTTCTCAGACCAGGGATCGAACTCGGACTCCCTGCAATGGGAGCTCGGAGTCTTAGCCACTGGACCCCCAGGGCAGTTCCCTGTAAAGTGATTTTTAAAGCTTCTTTGTTATAACATTCATCACATTCTGTAATGACATCACATCTCTAGCATAATGAAGTTATGTTCAAGTTGTGTTTAAGTTCCTTACTTCTTCTCTAGAGGAATTAGAATTACTGTTTGTTAGGGTTGTTTCAGACTTCCTTGGCTTACTCTTTGCTGTTCAGAATGAAGTAACTGTGAGAGTATTCTTGGTAGTAGGAGAGACTTTAGGGGACCTGAATGGAGAGCAGGCCCCTATTCTCTGGGATTTGGGAGAGGGAGCACCATGTGTATGGGCAGGTGATGTGTGTGTGCCCACCTTGGACTCACATTTCCCTCCTCAGACTGAATAGAGGAGACCTGTTCCCCGCCTCTGTCAGTTTCAGAATATACTGGAAGATGATCCTAGACAGCAAACCAAATGTGGTAAGGATATTTTTGAAGTTGAGTCACCTTCGGTCTGCACATTGCTTCTCTCCACGTTCTATCCCATGGGAATCAGCCTCGCTATAGAGAGCGGTCCTTTAGTCCTTTTCTTTGGAGTTTGGTGACACAGTAGTAGTGTGACTAATAAGTTTTCAAATGTGTTCTAATTTATAAACACTATTCTGAAGTAGATAATGGATCTATGAGTTTCTTTTACATTTCTGGATGTAATAAGAAAGCGTTGTTGGAAGTGACTGCAGATAACAGCGGTCTGAGTGGAATAGCCTTTGCTATGGTGTGCGAGTTTCCGCTGAGATTGGTTTAGCACCAAGAAGGACTCCTTTCATGACTGTAGATGTTTATTAGCAGAGCTTGTTATAGGATTTAGATATATTAGTGTTGTGTGGAGAGCAGACTACTGGAAGTGATGCTTGTTGATATAAAAACTCTTACTTTACATGAGATCTGCTTTAAAAGACCCTGTGGCCAGTGTGAGCACACGCGCGTCTGCTTCTTCAGTGGCACCATCTGTGGGAGTCACAGAAAGGTGTGTCTGTGTGCATGTGCTGAGTGGCTGGCTGTTGGTGCTTCGTCTGTTAAACTGCAATAGAGCTAGAGGGTGAGCAGCATTACCAATGCCCCAGATCCTTTGAGGGATTCCTAGAGGACTGGAAAGTAGTGATGGGAAAGAAAAAAAGCAAAAAACAGACCAGCCAGCCGTGGTCCTCCCCAGAGAGCCCCTGTGGAAGCTTGAACTTGAAATTTGCCGTTCACAGTTGGCTGTGACTGTGACGCCGTCACCATGGTAATCGCGTCTAGCCTCTGGCTTGGGAGAGCTGGGTCAGGGAGCCTTCTTGCTTACTGTTGACACAGTAGTGGGCATGTGGGGTCAGGCCAGAGACCTGGTCTTTGCAGAGAGTGGCTGACCTTCTGTCTGGGGGTGGGCGGCCTGGCCGTTAGGGCTGGGGAGAGAGCAGGGACCGCCATGTGATGGGCTGGGTCCCCGCAGACCTAGGGCCAGCCTAGGATGCAGCCACCCCCAGTCATGCGCCGTGGCACTCTGGCTCCTTGCCCCTCCCAGCTCTTTCAGGACCAGTGGGGAGGAATCCCAACCAGAGATGCAGATGCTGGCCGTCTTTCTTTCACAAGTTGGATCTGCTAAGCGGGGGTTTCCAGACACTTAAGGGAAACCAGGGAGCGAGAAAGAGAACAGGAAACTTGAAAGATTCTCCTTTAAGTGACAATAGTTAAATGTCCAAGGGCCCTGTGTCTATTCCTTACGTTTTTTTTTTTGTTGACTTTCCTGAACTGCCTCTGTCATAGCAATGATTTTTTTTTTGTTTTTTGATAGTTACTTGTAAAGTTTTGTCGCCTTTGTAACTCACCTTTTCTTAACGTCGAAGTTACTCAACGTCTTTTTGTCTGCTTTCGAGTCGAGCTCCCGGGCGGCATTGGCTGCTGTCTGAACTGCTGTCTGTGGAGCTCCTGTGTTGTGAGTGAAATGTGGTGGGTGAATTGTCACAGAAGCAGATGTGAGTGGTCCAGCCCCTCTCCAGGTAAACAGGTAGTAGGGATGGGGAGGAAGGAGAGACGTAGAAGGAGAGTTTCACGGCAGTAATTTACCTACTTTATGAGATTGGTGAATCTGGCTAGAGAGTTAAATATAGAATTACTAGATTCCCTAAAGCAGTCTTATACCCAGTAATTCGTAATAAAAACTAGGAGGTGGCGTGGGGAAGGAGAAGCGGAGGTGTGTGCACGCCAGCTTCTCATTTGCAGAGCAGGTTTAAAGCTGGTGACGAGACGTCTGTAATTTACAGCTGTGATAATAGCCACCGTAGAGCTGAGACCACGCTGTCAGCAGCCGGTGTCTCTGGGGAAAGGAACTGAAGGGAGGGGGTGGCCAACAACACCTTAGTCTTACTCTCTGCCCTCTGCACTTCGTATTGTTTTCAGCGTGTGAACTTGCAGTGTTTATTAAATAAGGTGTTACATGAGGCGCACAAAAGGGATTTGGTGCTTGTTCTAGTATTTGTTACAACTGTCCAGGGGGTGCTAACTTCAGACTTTCGGATAAAGAGCTATGTGTTTTCTTTAACCTGCCCAGTAGCTTCCAAAACAAAGTACAAGTGAGGTAGTTTGCTGTCTTCTGTTGGAATTTTCCGTTGTGTTGTTCCGTTTGGTTGAAACCATCACTTGAGTGACCGATGCTTCTGATAGCCTTGCAAAGGGAAGCTTCACTCTCGTCGTTTGCTTTCCAGCCCCGAGAGCTTGGCAGAGTAGGCGTTTTCCTGTATTAGGAGGTGCAGAGACCGCACTGACGCAGTGACTTGTCCTGGAGGTGGTGCTGAGCTTGGGCTCAGACTGTCCCCGATTCCCGGCCCCGCTGGGGCCCCCACACAGGACCTCTGTAGCATTCCCAGACTCAGGCTCCCACTCCGATTTCTCCCTGCATTCGGAACACTGTGTTCTAGTTGTATTTAAAATACGGAAGCGTGTGTTTATTTTGAAAGGTGAATTTTACTGAGGTTTTTCAGCAGTGCCACACATAACACTGGGTGTCACTCAACTTCTTGCTGTTGGGCATCTGGACCACACTTGCTCTCTGCTCTGCTGTCCCCATCTTTCCTCAGACAGCGGTGCCTCCCGGAATTTTCCTGTTGTCTTTATTTTTTACCCTTGTAGCTAGCTCAATCAGAGCAGTGGAAGGTAGGTGTTGTTTGCTTCAAGGCTTAACTCATATTTTTGGGCTTGTGACACTATAAACAAGCAACACTTGGCCTTATCTGATCCTCACGGTGAGGTTTTTTACCCAAGAAATTATGGATTTCAGTAGTGACTTGCTCTTCAGGAAAACGATGGTGGGGGAGGACGCGTGATTAACTCTTGTCTTGGGATCCCAGTGTGACAGCCTTGACCCTTGAGCACGAGGTCTTTTTCTTAAAATTGTGGTCAGATATATATAACAAAAAACCCCTGCCATTTCAGTTAATCTTACGTATAGATTTCAGTAACATTCATTCCATTTGCCGTGTTGTGCAGCTGTCACCACTGTCTCATTCTAGAATGTTTTCATCACCCCAGCCGGAGCTCCACGGCCATGCAGTAGAACTCCCCATTCCTCCCTGTCTGCAGACTTTGCTTAATCTAAAGTTAATCTATTTTCTGTCTTCTGTGAATTTGCCCAATGGAGGTGTTGCATGTAAATGGAGTCCTACACTATTTGTCCTCTTGGGTCTGGCTTTTTTCACTTAGCATAATGTTTTCAAAGTTCATGCATGTCGTGGCATAAATTAGTACTTCATTTCTTTTTATGGCTCAATGATACTCCATTGTATTAGTCCACGTTTTGTGTATTTGTTCCTCTCTTGATGGACATTTGGAGTTCTTTCTGCCTTTTGCCTTTAATGACTAATGCTGCTATGAATGTTGACATTCCTGTTTTCAGACCTTTTGGATATATATCTAGGATTGAAATTGTTGAGCCATATGGGAATGCCGTGTTACATTTTTGGAGGAACCACTGAGTTTCTTCACATCCTCACCAACGCTTGTTGTTTTCCATTTTTCCCCCTTGATTCTGGCCAATTTGACAGGTGTGAAGTGGCACCTTGTGATTTTGATTTGCATTTCCCTAGTGAGTAGTGATCCTGAGCATTTTTAAATGTTCTTGTTTGCCATTTGTATATCATCTTTGGAGAAATGTCAGTTCAAGTCACTTGCCTGTTTTTTGGTTGGGTTGTTTTTTTTTGTTCTTGAGTTGTAAGAGTGCTTTATTCCGGGTGTTTATCCCACTTGGTCATGGTTGGTAATCCTTTTAATATGTTGCTGAATTTGGTTCACTAGTGCTTTGTTGAGGTTTCTGCATCTATATTCATAAGGGATAGCGCCTGCAGTTTATAGTGTCTTAGTCTAGCTTCAGAGTCAGGGTGATGCTGGTTTCATAAAATGAGAAAGTATTCTCCCCTCATTTTTTCTGAAGGGTTTTACAGCCTGTGGTTGTAAGCCTTCTGACATAGTTAATGCTGAGGATTTCTCAGCTGAGCAGTGGTGGTGGAGGGCCTGACCCCAAGAACTTCCCGCTGTGTCTCTGTGACGTCTTTGCACTCTGCAGGGTGTTTTGGACAGGACTCCAGGAGGTGCCAGCTGCAGTCAGTTCCTGTCTGTGTCTAACAGAACTGTTTCAGTTTGATGATAATTTTAGTTTTTATTACAATTAGCCCCTGGAATCTAGAGTATGAACCCTGTTGTTACAGTAACAGAATAATTCATTCAGTCAATAATTTACATAGTTTTGATTTCACTTCAGCTTAATAATACGTTATAGCTGGATGGTGATTTTCCTCGCAGGAGTGTGAGGGACTTTTCACATAGTTCACTTTACTGTAACACAGGATTTGGGGAAAACAGAGGGGTTCACGTTTTTGTAAGTGATAAAACGTTGCTCCACGTTTTCTGATTGAGCAGTTTGGCAGTTAGACCTAATGTATGTGTACTTGACTATTGGAACAGAAGTCTCACAAACCATCAGTTACTGTCTCGGTAGGGAGAGGCACTGTGATCTCGTCAGCCTCACTGAGAAGGGAGCGGTGGTTGTGATACTCGGCTGTCTGCTGAGGGGTATGACCTTGTTGGTTCTCAGATGCTTACTGAGGTTCATTTTTTCTGAAGGACTGCTGCTTTGGGATGACTTTTAGGATGCCTGAAACTGAGGGTATGGAAATGGTTTGTTTTCTCATGAAAATGTTTATTGTCTTTGGTTTAGTGTCGGGGTACAGTCCCTGGTTTAGTGTCAGGGTACAGTGTCTGGTTAGTGTCGGGGCGCGGCGTCTCTGGTTTAGCGTCGGGGCGCGGCGTCTCTGGTTTAGTGTCGGGGCACGGCGTCTCTGGTTTAGTGTCGGGGCACGGCGTCTCTGGTTTAGTGTCGGGGCACGGCGTCTCTGGTTTAGTGTCGGGGCACGGCGTCTCTGGTTTAGCGTCGGGGCGCGGCGTCTCTGGTTTAGTGTCGGGGCGCGGCGTCTCTGGTTTAGCGTTGGGGCACGGCGCGTCTCTGGTTTAGCGTCGGGGCATGGCGCGTCTCTGGTTTAGCGTCGGGGCACGGCGTCTCTGGTTTAGCGTCGGGGCACGGCGCGTCTCTGGTTTAGTGTCGGGGCACGGCGCGTCTCTGGTTTAGTGTCGGGCACGGCGTCTCTGGTTTAGCGTCGGGGTATGGCGTTTTCCAGGGGAACAGTCGTGGGCCCTCAGCCTTGTCTGCCTTCTCCGTCTTCTGGTTTGGGGGACAGGAGCTTGCTTCCCACATCTCTGTCTGGGTTCACCCTCTTCCTGCCGCACTCACTTCCTCCTTGCTGTGTCCACATCCACCCTTGCCTCTTCCTGTGCCTCCTGCACGTTCTCGGTTTGTAGGGTCACTTGCTTCTTTGATCTTCAGGAAGCCTTTCCTGCCTGTTTTGGCAGTTCTCCTTTGGCTCCCGACCTGATCTGACGCTTTTCAGTATTAAACTAGGAATGATAAATGCTGGATTTCAAGGTAGGACTCGAAACACAGCAGTGGGGGAAATGTGTTTTCTCATATTTGTATTAAATACAGGCTATCTAGTATAAAGAACCGTAAGCTGTCTAATGGAAAGAAGGAAGTGCCGGCCCTCCGTATCTGTGGGTTCCGCCTCCCAGGATTGAAAACATTTGTGAACAAAGTCCTAGAAAGTTCATAAAAGCAAAACTTGAATGTGCCGTGTGCTGGCAGCTATTTACATGGCATTTACACCACACTAGGTGTTACATGTTGTTGAGAGATGACTCAGGGTCATATGCAAGAACCACATCATTTCACATGAGGGGTTTGAGCATCCTTGGGTTTTGGGATCTGTGGAGGTCCCGGAACCAGTTCCCCACAGATATGGATGGATGAATGTGTTCTTGATAAGTCCATTTTCTAGATGGAGGTGTTCATCTTTTATGTTTTCATCACTTTTTATTTCTTGCTAAAATGTATAAAAAGCTTGCTATTTTCTTAAATAGTGTGTACTGAACATAATTCGCTTTTCCAAATACATCTTTACACATAACCATTTTTTAATCATAGTCGACCTTTAGATGGTAGACGAGGTGGCCTTAATTTACTTCCTTGAAAACATTTCTGGGTGTCACTTTGCTTTTGTGTGTTTGTTTCTCATAATGGCAGAATGCAGGGCAGTCAGATGTGTTTTCCATGGTTGACTGTGTAAACATTGTTCTTCAGAAGAGCCATCTCCGAACTGGTTTTCTCTTTTCCTATTTGCAGGTGTGTCCTCAAAACATAGTATCTTTATTAGTAAACAGAAGGCATCCTTGTAGTTTCTACTTCCTCTTCTTTCACAAGTGTGGGTGGTTAATTTTCGGTGAAACTCAGTTTTCTAAGAATTAGACTAGGCCTGGGTGGTGGTGTTAAGTTGCTCAGTCGTGTCTGACTCTTCGTGACCCCATGGATGGCAGCACGCCAGGCTTCCCTGTCCATCACCAACTCCCGGAGCTTGCTCACACGCACGTCCATTGAGTCAGTGATGCCATCCAACCATCTCATCCCCCGTCGTCTCCTCCTCCTCCTGCCCTCAGTCGTTCCCAGCATCCAGGGTCTTTTCCAATGAGTTGGCTCTTCATATCAGGTGGCCAGAGTACCGAAGGTTTTTTTTTAAACTGTCTCCATAATTACCATTGAGTTTTTTACTTTTAATTATAATTTTCAGATTTGGAAGTTTTATTTGATTCTTTAAAAACAAATCAGCTTAGGCTTTAAATCCTCACGTTTATTCTTATAATCAGGCTTTTGCTGTTTCTTTGTATATACCAACCATTTGCTTTATGTCATGTCTGAAATATTTCTGATATTTAGCATCTTGAGTCTAATTCTTCTGTCTGTGTTTTCACTGGTTTTTATACGTGGTGCTTTGTTTTTCTGCTTTTGTGTGTATGTGTGATTTTTGATGGTGAACTCAATCTCTTGGGAGTTTTACTTGCGGGAACTCCTTGTGGGTAGCTTGAATTTGTCTTCTGGAGTGAGTCTGTAATTTCACTGGTTGCTAGTTGTGGGCACCATCCGCTCAGGACCTCGTTGAATTTCGTTTCCTGCCTGATTTTGTGTGTGTGAATTCGGGTCACAGGCTTTGATGGGGGCAAGCTTGTAGTTATGACTGTCGGGAAGATACTGGTCATCTCTTCTGCCGCCAGGCCAAGGACAAGTCCGGCAGGTTCCTTTGCCATCTCCTCTTGTGGTGCAGGGTTATTTCTTGTTTTGCCTTTGCTGAAGACACAGCCCTCTTGGCTCCCTTGCGGTGTGGGGGTCTCCTGCCGCTCCCTGTCTTGAGTGGGCCCTGAACCTCAGCCCTGGTCCCCGTGCCCCATTTGATCCGGCCATCAGCATAGCGCGCTTGAGTCGCTGGTGTCAGCAGGTGCCTCCTCATGAAATCCGTCTTTGGCATTTGCTCATCTCCCAGGTTCTCCCATCACTTGATTTTTGGTTTCTGCAGATTTCTTATTTTCTCACCAGCTCACTAAATTACTGTGTGTTTTTTTTTTTTAATTAAAAAGTTCATCCACTTTTTGGTGGTTTTCATCAGGAGGGTCATGAATATCTAATCACTTCTTCTTGATGAATTTGTAGCAATAGGTTCTGAGTCTAAAGATAATCTTACGTGGTGACAGAAGAGTCAGAAAGAATGTCTTCATCCTTCAGTGTGTTGTGTTCTCAGACAAAACAGATGACATTCTTGATCCCCACAAAAGCTTTAGAGCAGAGATTCCTGAGAGTGCCAACATTTCTTCCCTTTGTCCCAGTGAAGAATGGTGATTTCATGCAACGTTGTTAATTGCAGTAGGAACATATTTCTAAAGTGTGGGGATGGGAGACTGTTCAGAGCCATCACTGTTGGATGTTGACAGGTTCTAGGCTCGATTTAAATCCTGGGCTGCTGGATGGACTATTATTTGACATGATAGGGTTTGGCAACCTTCAACAGAATCTTAGAATCTTCAGGGGATGGTGTTTGAGAACTCTTGTAAACGTACTAAAAAAAATTGTGTAGCGAATTTTCAACTTGGTGGGTTTTTTTTTTTCTTTTCTTTTCTTTTTTTTACCACTTAATGTCTAACTAGAGTGTTGAAAACACTTCTAAATTAAAAAACAACAAACAACCGCTCATCAGCAACTGGATTGCTCTGTCTACACTCTGCCTTTGTAGTTAGCGTTTGGCTAGAGGCAGGAATGTGCTCTGGTTGTTTCTGCAAGAGAGTCTTGAATTCCTGCCATGAGACTGTCCTCCCGCACATTCACAGAATCAGCACTGCAGTGTCATCGCGTTGCACTAAGGTATAGTTTACTGCGCTGTACCTTAACTTCGCACTCGCGTCAGTAAGTTCCGCGCGCTCTGTACTTTCCATTGCAGTCTGCTGCCCTTACTCCCATCTGTAACCATCTATGGTGCTTGTCGTGTGCTGGTTGACTTGGAGTTCCCTAGAGTTTTGTGTTAATCTAGTAATGTCCTCAGAAGTGTGGATAAAAGTGATTAGACATGATAGAATGTTGAGTTAGAAGAGACTTTAGAAGTTATCTGACCTTGAGCTGTGAAAACCTAAGGTGTGTAAGGGCTTCCTTGAATAGCCAGCAGATGAGCTTAGAGCTGGGGTTTGGAAAATTGCTGAGGAAGTCTACCCTGGACGTTCATTGGAAGGACTGATGCTGAAGCTGAAGCTCCAGCACTTTGGCCACCTGATGCAAAGAGCTGACTCATTGCAAAAGACCCTGATGCTGGAAAAGATTGAGCGCGGGAGGAGAAGCGGGGGACAGAGGGTGAGATGGTTGGAAGGCATCACCGATGCAATGGACATGAATTTGAGCAAGCTCTGGGAGATAGGGAAGAACAGGGAAGCCTGGCATGCTGGGTTCTCGATTCACCCTGAGGGCCAGAAATGCTTTCCCTGGGTGTGCCTGCTGGCTTTTACTGTTCCAAGTAGATATGCTTTGAGAATAGCACCTTTTCTAGCTTTTGTGTGTGTGTGTGTGTGGGGGGGGGGGAAGAGGTTATACTTGTTTGAATGACACCAGTGTCAGTTTGAATTCTTAGTGATGGTTTTCAGCACACGCGAGGGAATTCCATGACAAGACACTTGAGCCGGTGCTGTGGACAGTGGCTGGTAGACTCCCCACAGAGGGCTCTGGCTCAGTGGATCTTGAAGTTGTTGTCATAACTGAATTTCGTGTTATTATTAAGCAGTTCGTGGAATGCCAAATTTATAAGTAAATAGTATCTGTGAGCTAGGGATTGTATCAGGGTCTTATATAAAGCTGAATAGTACATCTTAAATTAAACAAGTAAACATGTATAAATAATAAATACAGGTGCTGGGTGGCTGGAGTGTATTCAGGCACATGTCTTGTTTTGGTCGAGCTTGACCTCCAGCCCACCCAGTCCCTTCCCTCAGGCCTTATTTTCAGGCCTGGCATGTCAGGAAGCCAAGGAGGTGCCATCTGACAAAGGGCCGGGCTTCCAGCCTTAGGAGACAGCAGGGGCGCGCTGGGCCACAGGTGGTGCTGAGCGTGGTGGTCCCGTGGGAGGCGCCGTGTGCGTGTCGCCCTGTCCGCAGCTATGTACACAAGGCAGTGTTCGGCTGTTTTGTGAGTAGGGTCAGTTGTGTTTGTCTGGTCCTGTGTTTTCTGGGGAATTTTGAAGTTAACAGCTGCTCTGTCTTCAGAATCACTCTTACTTCCCTTTCAGACTGCATTTTGAGTCCATTTGCTATTACACGCTGGTACCCGGGGCCTTTGTCACCCCTGCCCCCCCCACCTCCATCCCTTTTCCTTTGGGGCCTTAGATGCACAGACATGAGTCGATCATATTGCTGAGACTGTGACACACGGTTACTCTCTGAGCAGGGCCCTTCTTTTGTTGGGTGTCATCTCACTTTCCCCTCTTGCCTTCCCCCCCCCCCCTTCACCTCTGCATCCTGGTCCTCTTCCGGCCCCACTCAGGTGCGTGTCATGTACACTCTCCCAGCCCCCTGCCGTGTGCTATTTTGTATATATGTGGTGGTGGTTGTGTTGATCTCCTTTTTTCTTTGTGTACTTAATATTACGTATTTGAGAAATACCCGTGTGTTTGAATGAACTCTAGCTTCATTTATTCTGACTGCTGCATGGTACGCTGTCATTTTATAGACCACCTGTTAATAGATTGCTGTCAGCTGTGCTGTCATCGGTGAGGTTTCAGGAAGCATTCTTTTCTTAAGAGTTTTTTTTCGTATTATCATTTATTTATTTTTGGCTGTGTTGTGTCGGCCTTTGCTGCTGTGCGGGCTTTTTCTCAGGGGCTGTCCTCTAGTTTCTCACTGCAGTGGCTTCTCCTGTTGTGGAGCACAGGCCCTAGGCGCACAGGCTTCTGTAGTGGCAGCACATGGGCTCAGGAGTTGTGGCCCATGGGCTTAGTTGCTCCGAGGCACGTGGGATCTTCCTGGACCAGAGATCGAACCCATGTCTCCTGCGTTGGCAGGTGGATTCCTTACCACTGAGTCACCAGGGAAGCCCTCAGCAAACATTCTTGTCCCCTTTGTTCTGCATGAGAAATTTTCATGCGTGCACTGCTGAAGAAGTATTAGGTTGCCAAAGGTATGCCTAACTTCAGGATGTCTCTGAGATCACACACCTATGAGACCACAGAGACAGCAGGGGCTCTCATCCATCACATAAGAATCATGTAGGAAAAGGAGCAGGATTAGTAGAATTCCTTGATCCAACTGTTCCTGCAAACTGTTTTTTTTTAGTCATATTATTAAAAGCCTTTCTTCTTCATTGTCACCCTTTATTTTCTTTCCATAATGTTAGGTTATTACAGGAAGCAAAATCATTTTAAGGATCTCTCTGTAGTGTGTATGTAACTGTGACAGGATTGGGAAAATACCCTAAATACTCAGATTTCTCCTTTTCATCCCATAGGGCGCCAATGCCTCGGCATTAGAGAAAGAGATTGGTCCAGAACAGTTTCCGGTCAACGAGCACTATTTTGGATTAGTCAATGTAAGTATCTGTTAATACGTAAGTAGCCTATAGAATTGTGCTTGAAAGTAGTCTTAAGGACGGTGAATGCAGTTCATAATTTATTAAAGGAAAATTGTTCATTCATATCAGCAGATTTAATGCCAAGAAACTTGACTTGGAATTTCAGAATTCTCTCTAATGGAAGAGAGAGAGGCACTGCCTGAAGCCTTAAGAGTCTTTAGAACAGTTTCTAATTTATCAGACTGATTTTTTTTACCCCTATTTTGTGTCAGAATTTTCTCATAACCAAAATCTCATATGGCCTAGACCAAATGATCTGATTCTTTGAGAATTATTTACATGTCTAAATATAAGTGGTCCACATGTACAGATGGAAATAAATATAGTTTTGTAAATGCCTCTGTGTGTCTGTAGAGTCTAAAGAACTCTCTTTAGAATTTTGAACTCTTTCCCGAATCATCAGAGAACACCACAGATCTTTACACATTTGTCATGGTGGTTTATGCTGTTGTACTGTGCTGCTGGGTGGATCTGTGGCATTTTAAATATATATATATAGGTGATAATATAGGTACGAAAGTAAGTTTTATTAAACTTGGTTCTAGCACGTCGTTATGTACACATGGAGTTCTTGTGCAATTTGAGGAGGGCAGATTAGGTGGTGTGTGGGGTCACCTTGCCAGGGGACCCTTCTTTGTCTGTGCTGGACGCAGAATCAACAGTGCCCACCCTCCTCTGTATTCCCCTCCCTGGAGGACACCACTCATCAATCCTCTGCTCTTTTTTTCTGGAATGTGTCCTTAGAGAGTAAATAAGGTGCTTATACTTCTATTAATATATATACATATGTACACATGTATGTATACTGACTTGCTGTTTCGGCAGAAACAGAAGCAGGAACTTTGCTGTCTTTTCCCACCATCCCTGCCCAACTTCACTTTCCCTGATTCTCCCAGAATGAAATTAATCTCGGCCTTAATTGTCGCTTATTCTTAACCAAAGTCTTCAAGAGAACCAAAGAAAGCCACGAAGGCCTCCTGTCAGTTTCCATGGAGCCGTGCCCAGCAGGTCCCCTCTGCTCTCCTGATGCCTGGCAGCGCCTCTTCCGTCGCCCTGCACTTGTCTCCTTCCCTCCATCCTGACCCCTTCCCGGTGGTTTCCTCCCTTGCTTTGCAGAATACGGCCTGGAGTCGCTTGTTAAGGAAGTATGCACAGATATAAGCTCTGAGGTTGTGTGTACCGAAGACAGGTTTGGTTATCTGTCTAAGTGTCAGTTGGACGTCCATCCTAGGGCATACCCGTCCTTCAGAGTCTTTGGGGCTTGCTCTGGTGCTTTCTGACTTCTCTTGATGCTGAGAGGGCACTTGCCATTCTGGCTCTTTCTCTCTTACGTACGTGCCTTCTTTTGCCCTTTAGAATGTGTTTGGGAGTCCTGAAGGGTGCTCTCTGTCCCCAGTGTTCTGAAGTCTCATCCTGTCTCTTGATGACGACCCTGTTGTTGTGTTCTTTACCGACCCGTTCAGACTGGTGATGTGTGTGCCTCCGGTCTAAGCCATTTCTGATACCATTATTGGGATGGTTTTCTTCCTGTTACTGTAATGTCTCTGTTCTGTCTTTTTCTTTTTAATATGGTTAATTGCATATTGAAACAGACTGATTCCTTATTTTTATTTTTTCTCCCTTTTTTGATTGTCTCCCTTAGTCTACATTTTAGACTGTATCTTCAACTTTTTTGTCCACTCTTTGCATTTTTCATTTTTTAGAGTGTTACCTTGTTTTTTTTTTTTAAACCTTGTTTCATGGAGGCAATATCTTCTCCTTTTCTTATGATATTATTCAAAGATTTTGTTGTTGCCAAGGTTTTCTTGTGCTCACTGGATTGTTTCTGAGACCTGAGTTTATTTCCCCCCCTCCTCTTTTTTAGTATCTTTACTATTGGAAGGTTTTCTCAAATTTTGTTCATCTAAAAGAGTGAAATTTTCTGTAAGTTTGCTTCTGTCTCTAGTCTGTTGTCATCTTCTTTAGCCTTTTGAGCTTTTGCCTAATCTATTCTTTTTTTTTTAATCTATTCTTTTACTGTCATTTTATTTGGGGTTTCGTGGGGAGGAGAATTAAATGAATATTTAATTTCCCTTGTTTATTGAGAGGTCTTGCCTCGACTTCTGTATAGTATCTGAAATGTTCGCATTTACATATAGAGTTGCCTAGTGATCAGAAGCTTCATTTCAGTTCTAGGGGGGCAGACCCCATTTTCTCCAGTCTCACTGCTCCTTCTCTGTGGGAACCACCCTTACCTGGTTCAGACCCCAAAGCTCATTTGTGTCTTGAATTGTCGTAAAGCTGTAGCCATTGTTAGTGTCTCAGGAGAACCTCTTTCCTTTAGAACAGTAGTGTGTTCTATATTAAAGGCTGTCTTACCTTTAGCTTCTCCTGCATAAGCATTCCAGCTTTCTCCCTTTGTGCCTAAATAACTTTTTTTCAAATTACCTCCAAACAAGTAAAACAACGTACTTGATACGATATGAGTCCTCAAGCTCTGTGGGGCTTCTCTGGCAGCTCCGTCAGGAAAGAATCCACCTGCAATGCAGGAGACCTGGGTTCGATCCCGGAGTTAGGAAGATCCCCTGAAGGAGGGCATGGCAACCCACTACAGTATTTTTATTACTTCTGGTGTAATAATAGTCTATAATACTGGTGCATTATAGACTATGCACCAGTCTAAATTCAAAAGGTGGAGTTTGTGTTTCTCCCTGAAGCTGAATAAATGAGGTTCAATAAAGCCAAGGAAAGCTGGAGTTTCCGATCTCTGTGCCTCGTTACGATGATGAAGAATTGAGATCCCTGAGGTCCTGAGGTAGCCAGGGCTCCGGCTGTGAAGGGTTGATGGGCACTTCAGACCCTCCTCAGAGACCAGTGGTGGTGAGAGTAGGCACAGCTGACCTGGGACCGTGATACACGCTCCTGGGATCTGTGCTCTTGGGCCACTTCACGCCTGTGTTGTGTGCCTTGAACCCTTTTCCACCAGCTCTGTTTTCAACTCTTACATTGTCATCACCCTTCTCTCTAGTTTCCTTCCCCCTTTTTTATTTGGAGAGTTATCACACTATTTATAGAGTCCCTTAAAAACTAAGGTTGGAGCTCTGAGGGGTTGGGGAGAGGGCTTAATTCAGAGGAGAACATTTGAACACCTTCCTGCTGTCCCTATGCCTGTCTGCCAAGTCGTTAGTGTTTGTAAACAACATGGAATGCAGCTGCTTTAAGGAACTCGGTGGTTAATCTTTCCTAATAATTGGATTCGGTTAAAATGAGGCACGCGTCTGTTTTCTTCTAATCAGTCTGTTCTTAGTGAAGTGTGCGTTTCCAGGTTTCATTTTAATCACTCTTACAAAAAGCAAATACTGAAAACAGTTCCTGTTAGGTCTGCCTGATTGAATCCCTTTTTGTGACTAGTAAAAGTACTAGAATCACTCAAAGGCATTTGCTTTTGGGAAACTCTGCGTTTGGGCGGTTAGAAAAGTAGACTTTTTTTTTTTTAATGGAGAGAAGAGAAAAAAACCCACATTTTGATTAACCTACCAGAAAATTCAGAGTGGTTACTCTTCACTTTGTTAATAACAGTCTAGTTTCCATTACTTTCAGTTGTATATATTTTTATCTTGGAGGAACATTTTCACAAATGATAGCTTTCATGGCAGTTGACTCTTCATGATAACTCTGATGTCTATCCCTGTTATTTGCATAATACATATAGTGGGGTTTCCTATTGAGTTAACCCTTGTGGATACGTCAGTATTTCTGATGTTGCAGGATATCAGAAGAAATATGGGTGTGGCTGGGGGGTACAGGGGAGTGCAGAAACCATCTCGAGAGGCAGAGGAGCTTTGGGTGCTTTCTCTTGCTGTAAAATCCCTCTTTTATATGTCGGCTGTTTGTGCAGTTAGCTGAATTCTTTGAAAACAAATGGTTTTAATCTGATCAACCAACTTGCCTTTTCCCCTTTATATCTTGTAGCCAGTAAATACTTAGCCTAGTGAAGTTGAGTGAAGAGTGATTTAGACTACTCTCTTTCCTCCTTTTTGTGCAGTTGCTCCATTTTTAGTAGCCTTTTGAGAATCATTTTAACTTTATAATACAATAAGCCTCCAAACAAGTTGGTTGGGATTAATGAATTTTTTTGTGAGGCTGAACCATCTTATAAAAGGCTTTCTCTAATCTGAACTGATTGTAGTCATTAGTTGGAACTCTGAATCCAGGGAACAAGGGTCACCATGGAGGAAAGAGAAATAAAAATGAAACTTGCCATTTGCAGGTTACAGGGTTTAGTAGGCTGATGTCTCTTGGTTCTGTTTTCTTTTGTGTTGATTTCATTCTCCTTTCGTTTCTTCCGCCTGGTGTTCTTAGACTGCTCAGAGACTGCAGACTGTTCATAGCAAACCTGACCAAAGGACTCGGGCCAGACTGGATCAAGTGCCTGACCCTGTGGCAGCATCTGCAGAAGGGCTTGTGACTGACCCCCTTACAGAATTTGCGTAGAGAAGTCAATTCCTGTGAGGAGGCCTGGGGCTGGGGAGCAGGTGAGGGGGGAGGAGCAGGTGGGGGGGGGTCAGGATGGGGGTCAGGTGAGGGGGAGGAACAACGTCCCTGAGAATCTGGATTAGGTACCCTTGGCTGCAGGGAGCAGGTGGTTGGGGACGTGGGGTCTAGAGTTACATGGAACAGAGCCACCTGAACAGAAATGGTGGTGGGGAGAAGAGGGTCTTCCCTTAGAAGGGTATGTTCATGGGACAGGCACCGTCACCAACCAGCGTGGGCGACAGTGGGACAGTTAACCATTTAAAACATTCTGCTGGCATTATGTTGACGTAATAGTGGTTAAAACCAGTAGTTTCCAAATGGAATATGTAAGATGATTCATTGGGGGGTGGGGGCGAAAGTATGAGCATGGCTAATGTTTACTTTTATCTAAAAATGAAAGATCGATTAAGCCTTGCTGGTTCTTAATAAATGGATGGTGCTGGCACCCGTATGCCATCCACACGTGTGGTCTGTGTCACTGCAGGATGCACAGTGCTGCAGGCTGACGTGCCACCCCTCTGGTTTACTGTGCTGTTGTCATCTATCATGATTTAAGTGTACACCTGGGGGTTATAGGATTTAATCTGTTTCAGCTAAGCTAATTTTCCAAAAGGGACAGATGACTCAAAAAGGTTGTTTCAAAAATAACCATGTAGTGATGAGGTGTGCCGGAACCACACTAAGTTCTTCATGCAGATCATTGAGTTAATTCTTCACAAGATTGTAGAGGTTGGTGCGGGTATAAACGTCATTTACAGATGAGGAAACCGATAAAGAGAGTGGCTTGGTAACTTCCCTAGGAAGGCGTTGATAGTAAAAACCCATCCTGTGTTTTAAAGTCATTTGAAGTCATTCTTTAAGTAATTCTGCCACCAACTTGATAGACATTTAGGTTTATTTCTGTTTATTTTCAATTTTAGGAATTTATTTTTTCTTCCTGTTTTTGTTTTTAATTTAGTTTTTTAAAAATATGGATACAGGGACTTTCCTGGTGGTCCAGTGGCTAAGATTCTGAGCTCCCAATGCAAGGGGCCCAGGTTCGATCCCTGGTTGGGGAACTAGATCTCACATGCTGCAACTGAAAGTCTGCATGCTGCAACTAAAGATCCCGTGTTCCTCAATTGAGACCCAGGGCAGCCAAATAAATCTTTTTTAAAAAATATGGGTGCAAAAGAAACTTCTTATAACCATGTACATGCATAGTGGCCTCACTTTCATTGCTTTCTCCTCTTTTCCCTCTCTCTATAAATAATCATTTATATTAGCTTTTGATTTAGCCTTCCTAGTTTTAAAATATCAGCAGACATGCGCTTGTGTTTATGGACATAGTTGAAGGGTTCCCATTCTTCCGCACTCGTCTGCAGGCAGCCCGTTAAAGGTAATGCATACAGGACCTCACCCTGGGACAGTTCTCTGAGACCTGTCCTCGGTCCTTGTTTACTCCCTGGATCCTCCCTGATTGACTTCCAGGTGTTTTATTAGCCTGCTTTTCACGTCATCGTTTCTATTCATGGGAAGGAAGAAGGAAGGCAGAAAATATTTGCAAGCTCTGTGTTCTTTTCTTTGCAAAGTAAGACTGTTTCCTCCCTTGTTATTAAATAGAAGGAAACTCGTGCCTCCCCGGCGTCTAGTGGTTAAGACTGTGTGCCTCCAATGCAGGGACGCAGGTTTGATCCCTGGTTGGGAGACTAAGATCCCACGTGCCTTGGGGCAAGGCCAAAAAAAAAAAAGAAGAAGGAAACTGAAGCTGAGTGAGTCGAGGTCACCTGCTTCAGGCCACATGGCCAGTGAGAGGTGGGGCTGCCATTCAGGATTCAGCTCCAGAGCAAGTCCACATCCTCCTGATGCATCAGCCACGGTGTGACCCGGCGTCTCAGCATGTCGGTGGTGGTCCAGCTGTCACTGCTGATTTTTTCATCTAATACTTCTAAGTATCCTGTTTTTTTTTCTTATTTTTGTTTTTATTTTTTGTATGGCACCAAAGAACTTGATAGTAAACTTCACTATTATGTTTTTTTAAAGAATTTTTGAGAGTTATATTTTTAAATGTACAGTATAGAAAATGGTTCTTATACAACCAATACTATCAAAACAGTGGGACTTGGAAAAGAAAAAAATTCTCCAGAATCCTAAACCTTAACTAATCTCACTGTTTAAACTGTGTAGTTCCTTAACTCAGTGGTCCTAAAGGCCAAACTTATCACATGTATCTTTCTTTCGGTTTAACCTGAAACTGATGTCAAGAGCATCCATTTAATGTTAAAATGACTAATTTGCAGTTAGGACAATTATTTCTACCCTCAGTTCAGTTCAGGAGCTCAGATGTGTCCAGCTCTTTGTGACCCCATGGACTGCAGCACGCCAGGCTTCCCTGTCCATCGCCAACTCCTGGAATTTACTCAGTCATGTCCATTGAGTCAGTGATGCCATCCAACCATCTCATCCTCTGTCACCCCTTCTCCTCCTGCCTTCAATCTTTCCCAGCATCAGTTCCAATGAGTTTTGCAATGAGTTAGTTCTTCGCATCAGGTGGCCAAAGTATTGGAGTTTCAGCTTCAGCATCAGTCCTTCCAGTGACTGTTCAGGACTGGTTTCCTTTAGGATGGACTGATTGGATCTCCTTGCAGTCCAAGGGACTCTCAAGTCTTCTCCAACACCACAGTTCTACCCTCAGGTACCTTATAATTTATGAGGATCATAAATATTCGCTATCTTGCTTTCTCTTCTCTCAACAACTCTAGGCTTGGAAATTCTTTCTCTGGAAATTGTTTTACCCCCAATTTTAACAAATAAGTTTTTTTTTTTCCTTTTCCTATTCTAGTTTGGCAATACCTGCTACTGCAATTCAGTTCTTCAGGCACTTTACTTCTGTCGTCCGTTTCGGGAAAAAGTTCTCGCGTACAAGAGTCAGCCCCGGAAGAAGGAGAGCCTTCTCACGTGCTTAGCAGACCTCTTCCACAGCATCGCCACCCAGAAGAAGAAGGTTGGAGTCATACCTCCTAAGAAGTTCATAACGAGACTGCGGAAAGAAAATGGTAAATAACTCTTCTGCTTCTCAGCCTGCTGCTAAGGTAACAGGACGGTCGGGTGCAGCAAGCGTCGGCTGGGCGTCCTCACACCCGATGGTGCGGCGCCTCTCAGAAGCCAAAGGTGGTGTTCCTGCCGCAAAGGCAGTGCCAGCCAGCTCAGTGAGGACACAGTCAGGCGGGTTTCTGTGAGGTGTGGCTGCCGTCTGAAGTGTGCTGTGCAGAGATCAAATTCTGTAGGCCTGGAAATGAGAAATTATCATTTCTCTTTTTTTGCCTGCTTGGCTCTTTGATCAAGGAAAGTCGTTGAGAGGCACTTCCCTGGTGGTCCAGTGGCTAAGACTCCAGGCTCCCAATGCGGGCGGGGGCGGGGGTATTGGGGGTGGCTGGGTTTGATCCCTGATCAGGGAACTAGATCCTGCATGCTACAACTAAGACCCAGTGTAGCCAAATATTGAAAAAGGAAAAGTTGTGGGGTCTTCTGCAGTTTTTTTGTTGATTTTTTTTCCCCAATTACTGTTCATTTGGGTTTTTTGGTTTTTTTTTTGGTAATGCTTTTCATGAATATTAACTCATTTGATCCTTACAATAACCTCATGAGAGGCCATTATATTTCCCCCACTTTAGCCATGGGAAAAAAAACAAAGAAGCTGAAAGACTTGCCAGGAGTCACACCCCAGGCAAAGGAAAGCGCCAACACAATAAATGAAACTTTCTGGCTTAGGATATATGGTTTTTAACTCCACCCCCTACCCCACCCCCCCTTTTAAAAATAGTAACTGGCTACACCCCCACTTCCCTTTTCTCTCTTCAAATAGTTTTCATTTGATTTCCTTAGCAAGCTCATCTTTAGTCACTACTTCCTCAGTTGCCATGTGTCACTGGCACTCAGGGATGTTAAGGTGACCTGTCAGGTCTGCATCCTCCCTGACATCTGAGCCCAGCATCTGTCCAGGGTGGTGAGCTGCCTCGGGAAGTTCGGATGGACTTGAGAAATGTGTGGAATTCTTTTTGCTTGTTTGTTTGGATGTAGGCATTTCAGTCACTATAGGAAGAAAATTGGGTGTTATTTTTAGTTTCATTTGTTAGTGGTCAAATATAATGATGCCCATAGAAATATGATTTGAGAAGTTTCTAAGGTTGGTTATTAATGGGGAGTCCTGCCCTTAACTCAGTTGACACTGTTCATTGTCACATGAATCGAGAGAAGCATGGGTCATACTGAATTTCCTAAAACATATGAAGATGCTGCAATAATATAATTATAGGTTACTATTTTTTAATCTGATAACCATGTTAAAAGTTTTGTTCATTTTCTCCATATACAAATAGGTTAATTGCTCACAAAAGCACTTTTTTAAAAAATATTTCCCTGATTCAGGCTAAACCTACTTACTGTCTTAAATTCCAGATGTGTTGAGTATCTTCTGTTTGTGAGAAAGCCAAGTACAACTCTGTTTGAATGAGACTGATTCCGGTCTTCTCGGAGAGTTGTTTGCTTTTTTTGTCTGTGTTGGTGGGACACTTAAAAATTTTGTCCTGGTAGGAAACTCATGTACAGTTGACCTTTGGACAGCATGGGTTTATATTGCATGGGTCCACTTATATGAGGATTTTCTCAGTAGTCAATACTACAGCCCTGCGTCATCTGTGGTGGCTCAGATCCCAGGAGCATGACTGGGTACGGAGGATCCTCACATGCGAGGGGCTGACTGTGGTTTTACGTGGGTTTTCACCTCTGCGGAGGGTCACTTCTCCTAAGGTGGCTTGAAGTCAGAACAGCTGGCTTGTAGCAGTGTGATCATTCACGTTGCTGTTGGGGGCCAAGTTTATTCTTCTTACATCACAGTGCCTGTGGTCTGTTCATTCATTCATTCATTCATTCATTCAAGAAATATTAAATGACCTCTTTGGTTTACCATGGAGTTGAATGTTTTTTCATGTATTTTATTTAACCTTTAAAATTTTGTTTCTGTAAGTTGTTGATCTCAAGTCTTTTGCCAACTCTGTCTTTTGTATAAATTCTTTTTATGTTGAAGATGTTGATACCTTTCAGGTTTCACCATCTTAAACTTTTTAAATGATTTCTAATGTGTGGAACTTAGTCTTATGCGGTCATATCTGCAGCTCTTCTAATATGTAATTTTTAAATTCCGTGTTCTTAGGGAGGTTTTCCCTCGATTTTCTAATCGGTTTCTATTCTATCATTTTGAAAATGTAAACCGTAAACTTCCTGAACTTATATAAGCTCTGGAGGTGAAACTTCCTGACTGGGTGGTGGTCTGAGTGCATCTTGTTGGCTGGGTGCAGACGCCTGTGTGGCCAGGTAGCCTGGCTGCCCAAATCCCCTGGGTGGGGCCCGATGGCCTGGCTTGAGTCCTGGTTCTGCCGATACTTGGCAGTGTCTTTACCGCTCTCTCCAATTTTCTCACTTGTGAAATACTGCTAATAGCGGTGTCACAGGGTTGTTAGGAAGATGGCATGAGGCCCTGCCCTGGAAGGTCTTCCTCTGCAGGCTCAGGGTATGTGATGCGAGCACAGGTCAAGTGCTTAGTGTTGCCATGACAGCGACTCATTTGAGTAGCTGCGGGGGATGTTCCTCGGAGTTACGGGTCTCATGTTTGGAAGGGCCTTTAGAGATTCTATGGATTAAATAGATTTTCTATGATGCCTGTTCCCTAAACCTGACTGCATAGCGAATCACCCGGAGGAGCTTAGAGAAGTGCAGTTTCCAGGCCTCACCCAACTCTGTCAGAGGCTACACACGGGGTGATTTATCATGTTCACGGCTTCCTCTGTGGTTCGTATGCATTTGCCCTGGCACTGCCACGAGGTTGTCCACTTTCTGCTTTAAAACTTGCCCTGTTGTAGTATCTGTTCAGTTCAATCACTCAGTCATGTCCGACTCTTTGCGACCCCATGGACTGCAGCACGCCAGGCTTCCCTGTCCATCACCAACTCCTGGAGTTTACTCAAACTCATGTCCATTGAGTCGGTGTTGCCATCCAAACATCTCATCCTCTGTCATCCCTTCTCCTCCTGTCTTCAATCTTTCCCAGCATCAGGGTCTTTTCAAATGAGTCAGTTCTTCGAATCAGGTGGCCAAAGTATTGGAGTTTCAGCTCAGCTTCAGCATCAGTCCTTTCAATGACTATTTAGGGCTGATCTCCTTCAGGATGGACTGGTTTGATCTTCTTGCAGTCCAAGGGACTCTCAAGAGTCTTCTCCAACACCATAGTTCAAAAGCATCAATTTGGCGCTCAGCTTGGTTTATAGTCCAACTCGCACATCCATACACGACTATTGGAGAAACCATAGCTTTGACTAAACAGACCTTTGCCGGCCAAGTAATGTCTCTGCTTTTTAGTATACTGTCTAGATTGGTCATCACGGAGCAGGCGTCTTTCAGTTTCATGGCTGCAGTCACCATCTGCACTGATTTTGGAGGCCAAAAAAATAAAAGTCTTAAGTCTCTCACTGTTTCCAATGTTTCCCCATCTATTTGCCATGAAGTGATGGGACCAGATGCCATGATCTTAGTTTTTTGAATGTTGAACTTTAAGCCAACCTTTTCACTCTCCTCTTTCACTTTCATCAAGAGGCTCTTTAGTTCTTCGCTTTCTGCCATAAGGGTGGTGTCATTTGCATATCTGAGGTTATTGATATTTCTACCAGCAATCTTGATTCTAGCTTGTGCTTCATCCAGCTCAGCATTTCGCATGATATACTCTACATATAAGTTAAATAAGCAGGGTGACAATATACAGCCTTGATATATTCCTTTCCCGATTTGGAACCAGTTTGTTGTTCCATTTACAGTTTTAACTGTTGCTTCCTGACCTGCATACAGATTTCTCAGGAGGCAGGTCAGGTGGTCTGGTATTCCCATCTCTTTAAGAATTTTCCACAGTTTGTCGTGATCCACATAGTCAAAGGCTTTGGCATAGTAAATAAAGCAGAAGTAGATGTTTTTCTGGAATTCTCTTGCTTTTTTTGATAATCCAACAGATGTTGGCAATTTGATTTCTGGTTCCTCTGCCTTTTCTAAATCCACCTTGAGCATCTGGAAGTTCATGGTTTATGTACAGTTGAAGCCTGGCTAGGAGAATTTTGAGCATTACTTTGCTAGAGTTTGAGATGAATGCAATTGTGCGGTAGTTTGAGCATTCTTTGGCATTGCCTCTCTTTGAGATTGGAATGAAAACTGCCCTTTTCCAGTCCTGTGGCCACTGCTGAGTTTTCCAAATTTGCTGGCATATTGAGTGCAGCACTTTCACAGCATCATCTTTTAGGATTTTAAATAGCTCAATTTCAAATGAGAGGAATGGTGGAGGAATTCCTTCAAATGATGGAGGAATTCCATCACCTCCAGTAGCTTTTTTTGTCGTGATGCTTTCTAAGGTCCACTTGACTTCACAGTCCATAATGGCTGGCTCTAGGTGAGTGATCACATCATCATGATTATCTGGGTCATGAAGATCTTTTCTGTATAGTTCTTCTGTGTATTCTTGCCACCTCTTCTTAATATCTGCTGCTTCTGTTAGGTCCTTACCATTTCTGTCCTTTATTGTGCCCATCTTTACATGAAATGTTCCCTGGTATCTCTCATTTTCTTGAAGAGATCTCTAGTCTTTCCCATTCTATTGTTTTCCCCTATTTCTTTGCATTGATCGCTGAGGAAGGCTTTCTTATCTTTCCTTGCTATTCTTTGGAATTCTGCATTCAAATGGGTATTTCCTTCCTTTTTTCCTTTGCTTTTCACTTCTCTTCTTTTCACAGCTATTTGTAAGGCTTCATCAGACAACCGTTTTGCCTTTTTGTAGTATTTATGGGATGATAGATTAAGTGAACTGATAAAAAGCAGTTGTTTCTTACCACCTCAATACATTATGTATGAGGACAGGTTTTCTCTTTTTTGATCAATTAGTATTTTTTAGGAGATTTTTATTCATCATAACTTTATTTTCCCCAAATTCGACTCATAATTTGTACATGTGAAAGATACCTGTTTCTTGTCCAGTACTAACAGTCCTGAACATTTTATGTAGTTCTGATAAAAATACTAGATATTCTGTTTTTATTTAGTTTTTTAATGTAGTTATTCATTCTGAAATTCTCTATGCATTCTTATTTTTAGAGCTCTTTGACAACTACATGCAGCAAGATGCCCACGAATTCCTGAATTACCTACTAAATACCATTGCTGATATTTTACAAGAAGAGAGAAAGCAGGAGAAACAAAATGGTCGTTTGCCTAATGGTAACATTGACAGTGAAAATAACAGCACACCAGACCCAACATGGGTTCATGAGATCTTTCAGGGAACACTGACTAATGAAACCAGATGTCTTACTTGTGAAACCGTAAGTATATCATAAAATGTCGTATAGAACACGTCTAACCCATTGTGTTAAAAGTTCTTTGAAGATGAGTGTGAGAGTGAACTTGAGAGTTATGGTGCCTGTGGCCGACGAGCCTCTCAGCTGTCTGCTTGCTGACTGAGCCCTGAGCTGGCAGAGGAACACTGGCTGTGGTTTGAACTGTTTTGAGGCTTCATGTTGAACAGGAGGGCTGTCTCATGACTGCGGTGTCGTACAGAGTAGTCTTGCCACTCTGATGACGCTCTGTGCCCTGGCGGCCACTGGTCATTTTACTGCCTCCATAGTTTGCCCTTTGCAGATGCCACATGGTTGGAATCATAGAGTATGTGGTCTTTTCAGATTGGCTTCTTTCACTCAGCAGTAGATATTTAAGGTTCCCGCCGTCTTTTCACAGCTTGATAGCTCATTTCTTTTTAATTGATTGCTGAATTACATTTTATTGCCTGGATATACCAGAGTTTATCCATTCACCTACTGAAGGACATCTCGGTTGCTTACAGGTTTTGGTAATTATGAATAAAGCTGCTCAGAACATGCACGTGCAGGATTTTGTGTGGATATAAGTTTTCAGTGCCTCAGTTAGTGGTCAGGGGCGCAGTTGCTAGATCGTGTGGTAGGAAGAGTACATTTAGTTTAGGAACTACATTCGCATTCCCACCAGCAGTGAGGGAGAGTTCCTGCTGCTCCACATCCTGGTCAGCACGTGCTGATGTCGGTGTTTTGGATTTTGGCTGTTCTAATAGGTGTGTAGTGTTGTCTTGTTTTAATTTGCACTTCTCTGATGGCATATAATGTGGAACATCTTTTCATGCACCCATTTGCCATCTATATATCTTCTTTGGTGAGGTATCAGTACTAGTGTTTGGCCCATTTTTCAAATCAGGTTGTTTGTTTTCTAGTTGTTGAGTTTTAGGAGTACTTTGTACATTTTAGGTACCAGGCCTTTGTCAGATGTGTCATTTGCAAGGATTTCTCCCAGCTTGTGGCTCATCTTCACATTCTCTGAACTGTGCCTTTGGCAGATCAGAAGTTTTTAATGTTTTAATTTTAAATTTTAATAAAGTCCTGTTTGTTTTTTTTCCTTCATGGAAATGCTTTTGATATTCTTTAAATGCTTTTGGTGTTGTATTGAAAACGTCATCACAGACCATCTATATGTGTAGAGTTGTGTGGTGGGGGCTGGGGGGGATGGGGGTTGCTCCGGGGGACTGAGTCTGACGTCCTTCCTGTTGCATCCTGTTGAGGGAGGCAGCCAGCATGAGTGATGTGTCCTATTCCAGTTCAATGAATAAGTAGTAACTTTAGATCATTATAGATGATTTATTCATAATTCAAGCAGAACATGGTTAAATTCAGAGGATAAATGAAAGAAGGTCATAAGTGAAGGCTCAGTTTGGCATGTTGGGCTAATATTTTTTCTTAAATGGTAATTTTTTTCTTAAATAATTAAACAGTACAGAGATCGTCCTTTACCAGCCATTCTCATTCAGCCTTGTCCTGTGTTCTTTTAAGAATTACTGTATATGGCATAGTTTACACCCTGGACACAGGAGCCTGGCGGGCTACAGTCTGTGGGGTTGAAAGAGTGGGCCAAGACTGAGTGACTAAACTACCCTGAATACCAGGATTCGGGGAAGTGATGGGATTTCACATCACACCAGCCTTTGCCAGTAAGGAGAGCAGCCGTAGGTGCACTTTGGTGCTTTCCTCTAAATATAACGGACGGTATTGATTCAGTGTCCTTTTGTAAACTTGCATGACTCAAGTAGTTTCTTTTCAACTTGGGGGAAAAAAGTTCTTTATTTATTTAATAACACTAATAATAATCCACATTTAATTCTGTCATTTTGGAGCAGTAATTTACTGATATCTAAAGAAATCAAAGGTAATTAATTCTCTTATTTTTACAGATAAGCAGCAAAGATGAAGATTTTTTAGACCTTTCTGTTGACGTGGAACAAAACACATCAATTACTCACTGCTTAAGGTAAGCGTGGAATTATTTATTTTGACAGTTAATGATTATCTTTGGTTTTTAGAATATCTTTAAATGAATACATCATTTTCTGGTATAGGCAAAACTAATTTATTTTGAATTTTACACAGGGGTTTTAGCAACACAGAAACTCTATGCAGTGAATACAAATATTACTGTGAAGAATGTCGCAGCAAACAGGAAGCACACAAACGGTAATTTAGTGTTTTCTGAAATTCATAGTGATTCTTTGGCCATGGATGTTCTAGCCAGAAGTGATCTCTGGCAGTTTGCATTGAATAATCATCCTTCATTTTATCACCAGCTGTTAAGACTCATTAGGTAATTACTAGACAAACACGTTGGGTAGTTACCAGGCAAACAGTGCTCAGCTGCTACCTTGACTATCCACACTTGGTGAGAGGTTAGTCACCATAACCAGTAGAGTGAGAGGATTCTGCTTTGAAGCTTTCCTCCTTGTGTAAGCGTTCTCTGGGTGAGGAAAGAAGAGGGGAAAGGTGCCTTCCTCACGCCCACTCCAGTCCCCACTCTTCCTCCGTGGGATTCATGCCTCCTCTCATTGTGTCACCGTGAAGACCGTATTCTGGTATCAGGAAATGGACTCATCATCACCCTGATTATTTTACTTTTTATTTTGAAGCAGCCTCAAAGTCTTGTGAACAATATACCAAGAATGCTTTTCCACCCTAAACCATTTGAGAGCGGGTCCCTGCTGTGATGTCCCGCAATTCTGAGACTTCGGTAGCGGTGTCCTGCCAGCAAGGAGGTTTCCCCTGTACCATGTCTGTCCACGTCAGGAGAGCAGCAGTGATATGTTACTGTTGTTGTAGACCTTATTTTAGCATCACCAAATGTCCCAGTAATGTCCTTTATAGAAAAGAAAGATCCAGTCCAGAAGCACACGTTGCATTTAGCATTCGTGTCTCTGGCATCTTTTTACATCGGGAGCAGTTCCTTGTTAGTCTTTGCTTGACTTTCACTCTCTTGACACTTAAAAATTACAGGTTAGTTATTTTACATAATGTCCTTCTTTGGGTCCATCTCATGTTTTCATGTGATGAGATTCAGATTATGTATTCTGGGCAAGAATCACACAGAGGTGAGGCTGTGTTCTTTTTAAATGGTACATGATTTTGATACGTGTCATGTGTCAGGGCCCCCATGACCCCTCCTGGATTTGATGCTTCCCTAGAAGGACTTGCAGGATTCAGCATCTGTAGTCCTGCTCACAGCTAAGGTTTGTCACAGGGAACAGTGACAGGTCTGATCAGCAAAGGGGAAGCCAGGCCAGCTTCAAAGTGTCCTGTCCCCGTGGAGTCACATGGGCACACTTGTTTCTTCAGCATCGAATGTGACAGCATTGTCTCCCAGAGAAGCTCATCACAGACTCAGTGCGGTGCCCGAGATTTACTGGAGGCAGGTCACCTAGGCATTCCCTGCCTGTGTGTGTGCATACACGCTCAGTCACTCAGTGTCCGACTCTTTGCGGACCACAGTCCTCCAGGCTCCTCTGTCTGTGGGGTTCTCCAGGCAAGAATACTGGAGTGGGTTGCCATTTCCTCCTCCAAGGGATCTTCCTGACCCAGGGATCAAACCTGAGTCTCTTATGTCTAATGCATCACAGGCGGATTCTTTACCCGCCAAGCCATCAGGCGTGTACCAAAACTCCAGGCATGTACCAAAACTACAGGCTCCTGGAAGGGAAGCCGGTGTTCAGCATGAACCATTTGATCTGCAGAACAAGTTCAGGCACATCGAGACCCGCTTACCAGCTAGGAAACAGTGGGAGCTCCCCCAGATCAAGGTCCCAGATTCCAGCTGAGGGTTAGCCCCACAGCCAGCCTTTCCCAGTATGTCCCGTGACTGCTGCCGTTCTCTCTGGTCACTTGACTGAGGTGCTGTCTCCCAGTGTTAAGCTGTTAAGCTGTGCTTTTTCCCCAGTTGTAACTCATATGCATTTTGTGTGGAGGTATTTTGAGATTGTAAATATCCCTGTTTCTCAGTCTCAGTGAGGGCTCCAGGATATTGTATTTGAAGTTATAGATTTAATTTCTAGAAATGGAATTATTGGAGAAAAGGGCATAAAGACCGTTGATTCCTGTGGCTGACTGGTTTTCCAGGAAAGATTAGGTTTTTACATTTATTTTCACTAATGTTTTCCACTGGCCAGGTTAGTAAATATTTCTGAGATCATCAGCTGCTCCTCCACACTTAAGATCTGTAGAATGCAGGTTTCACATAAGGCTATAAAATTTTTTTTTTTTCACTTTATTGGAGGCAGTGGCTTAGTAAATTTTTTTTTTTAATTATGAAAAGTGTTTTGCTTCACTGAACACATGCAGGATTCAGCCCTGCACTGTTTGTCAAGTACCTGCTGTGTGCCAGGCATATTCCTGGGTGGTGGAGAAATCCGATGAAAGAGGTGGTTCCTGTCTGCCCAGAGTCCAGGCCCTAGACTAAGAGAGAGACCACAACCATCTCTATATTCTGTAGTGTAGCAAACCGTACTGAGACAGAGTGAGTCTATGAAGTGCTGATGGAGGACCAAGGAGAACGGCTGTTTCTGTCAGAAGGGAAAGCATTGGCAGCGAATTTTGTAAGAGGCTGCCATGCAGTGACGTGGGGGAGCAGAGATGGCGTGGAGGGGGTCTTCAGGATTGTTGAGGGTGAGGAGGCCTGGACTTCACAGGTATAAACCTCATTCCTGTGTTTCCAGGTTATTTTATCGCCTTTCCAGGATCCACGCAGTCAGAGCTGTTAGTAAGGAGCTGTATTACATCTCTGTGAAACACCCTGAGTGGCTGGTCTTCATTGCTCTTCTCTCTCTCTCCCTCCTGTTCCCAGTCTGTTCCTGACTTACATATATGAGTAAAACAAATGGATTTCAGTCTCTGCTCACAGCAGCTCTTAGGAGCCGGTTTTTCCTCTACCAGACACAGGCATTGCCTGTAGTCTGCCTTGTCAGAAGGGACCTCTATTTCACGAGTACAGAGTTCTTAAAATAAAGGGCTAGTCCTCTGTTTGGGAGCCACATGGAGTTCCACATCTCATTGTGTGGTTTGAAGATGATGGGGAACAGGGGGCCGTCTTAAGACTGCCAGAATGTTGCTCTGCTGATGTAAGAGTCACAGTAGATTATTGTTCACCTCAGACCATCACAGCATTATTAATCAGCTCTTCCCCAACACAAATGGCAACCCACTCCAGTATTCTTGCCTGGAGAATCCCACGGACAGAGGAGCCTGGCAGGCTACAGTCCATGGGATTGCAAGAGTCGGACACGACTTAGTGACTAAACCACCACCACCCTGCCCCCAACACAAAATAAAAAACTTAAAAAAGGCACAGGTAGAAATACGCGGAAGTGGGCAGTGCCGGGCTAATAAAACTGACCGTCAGTGGTTAATTGAATCCTGCAGTTTGATAGTTCTTTTAAGGTCATGGTGAATGTCTGTTATTAAATTCTGTCTTCATGTTTATTCTGACAGGATGAAAGTGAAAAAGCTGCCCATGATTCTAGCTCTGCATCTGAAAAGATTTAAGTATATGGATCAACTTCATCGATACACAAAACTTTCTTACCGGGTGGTTTTTCCTTTAGAACTTCGTCTGTTTAACACTTCAGGCGATGCGACCAATCCTGACAGAATGTATGACCTCGTGGCCGTCGTGGTTCACTGTGGAAGGTAATGGGCGTGGGCCGTGCCGGCAGGAGGCTGGGGATGGGCAGTGCTCACAGGACATCCCAGAGCCTCTCAGAGGCGGGCCTGCCAGAGATTCTGTACCCCCGGTGCTCTCGGACCGAGATGTGTTTATTTCAGGATGAGTATTTCAGATCCATTTTACCATCTCCTTAAAACTTTTATATGTTAAAATAGTGTGTTATTGCTTGGATCTGATATTTGTTCTTATTATCTAAATAGGGGCTTCCCTCGTAGCTCAGTTGGTAAAGAATATGCCTGCAATGCATCAGACGTGGGTTCAATTCCTGGGTTGGGAAGATCCCCTGGGGAAGGGAATGGCAACCCACTCCAGTATTCTTGCCTGGAGAATCCCATGGACAGAGGAGCCTGGTAGGCTACAGTCCACAGTGTCGCAAAGAGTCGGATATGACTTAGCGACTAAACCACCACCACCACCATCTAAATATTACTCTGAGAACTTTTAAGTCCTGTTAGTTTTCTTTTTGGTTTTTCTTGGTTGTTGGTTTAAAAAAAAAAAATGCTGCTTAAAGAGATTTTATAAAATAAATTATTTTTGCAAAATAAATCTAAGACTAGTTGGATATGTTCATCATGTTAATAATTTAGGAAAAACACTTTAAGAAGGCTTTGGAAATAACCTTCAAAGATAAGTTTTCTGATTTTACAAGTCTATGTGTGTGTTTCCTATTAGCTAATTTAGTGTACTGTCTCATCTATAGATCTTAATTTATAAAATAACTCAAAAAGATTCTCAGACCACAAGAGCATTTCATAATCAACATTTATGTTTGGAACATAAGTCTTCATTGACTGTTTATAATTTCCTGTATTTTATTTTATATATATATATACACACACACACATACACACCCACTTTGGCTGTACTGTACAGCTTGTGGGATCTTAGTTCCCTCACCAGGGACTGACCAGGGCCTAGCCAGTGAAAGTGTGAGTCCTAACCACTGGACCACCGAGAAATTCCCTTCTTGTGATAATTTTACAACGAGACACTCCTCCATTTCCCCTCGTACTAACAGCGTATTGTATCCCAGCTTCTCGTTAGCTGTCCCTTCCTCCCACCCTTCTGCTCAGAATATGTTGAGATAGCTGGGAGGCGGGTCCACGTCTCTCACAGTCTTTAACCTCCACAGTCTGTGTTGGCCCATTTCCTGTCGTTTATCCTCAGCAGTAATCTTGCTTTTCCATTTTTGGAGCATTCTGTTTCTAAAGTAAGTAATGACATCTGAACAGAGGAAAGCAGTATCAGATAACTTACAGAACCCTATTGTAATGATCAGACTGGAGGTTTATGTTAGCATTAAAATTTTTTTTTAAGTTTAAGATGTTTTCTTCTGCAGGAAAAATGTGCTCTCCTCATATCTTTCTGTCAACAGAGATACTAATTTTAACTACGGGATCAAAGATCTAAAGAAACTGGGAGGCAGCTTATTCTCAGATCTGAGGTTGCTGCTTTTAAAATCGTATTCAGAACCATAAAGGATAATTTGTGTTGAAAATTTTTTCAAGGCCTATAATATAATAACTGTGGTAGAATTGTAATTTAATAAAAAATTATATAAACTTTTCTAGTGAGTCGTCCTTAAGTAACTGGGAGCAGCTAAAAAAAGTCTTTGATATGTTCTTTAAAAAGAATTTCCTTTAGGGAATTTGCCGGTGGTCCGGTGTTTGGGACTCCAGCTTCCGCTGCAGGGGACGCGAGTTCAGTCTCTGGTTGGGGAATGAAGATCCCACAAGGCACGTAGCATGGCCAAAAAAAAGAAAAAAAGCAAACCCCACCTTTATTTTTACATTTTCCTAGATTTCTGTATCCAAGATTTATTTAAAGTGAAATACAGAGGCAAGTATAATAATTACATGTTGCTAAGAATTAAGTACTTAAAACTAGCACTGATAATACTAAAAATAAGTTACTTGTTTAGAGAAGTTTATGAAGTTGGACCTTGATTGCAGATCCAAGGTTTCAGTATCTTTTTCAAGCGTCATGTGGAAGTTTTCCTCAAGAAAAACTATTGCCAAGGGTTAAGACTCAGAAATAATTCTACGTACATCGTTCAATAGTTATAATTCAGTGTGTTCTGGCCTCTCCTGCCCCACAAAAATGCTAGAAAGTTTTACTTAAGTATCTTGCAGAATCAAATTTGAACATTACTTCAAAAATAATAATTTTAAAAGGCAACAAAGAATTTTAATAGTATAGCTTTATATAAATAGAATACTGGTTATATCTCTCAAAGTAGAGTACAAATTACTTTAAAACCAAATGACGTTTGGATCAATGTAGCTTGATCTCTTGGGGGGGAAAGAATAGGTAAGGAACATTTGTATCTGTTTCAGTTTTTCTCCTTTACAGAACATGGAATTTAGGACATAGAAGAGTAATACTAATAAACTTTGTATAAAGTTAACTTTTATTTCTCTCTGTTTTAGTGGTCCTAATCGAGGCCATTATATTGCAATAGTTAAGAGTCATGATTTTTGGTTGTTGTTTGATGACGACATTGTAGAAGTAAGTAGTTTCCTGATTTCGTGTTTTCCTTCAAAGTTATGTGTGTTTCTTGCTCGTGACTTTTTCCTTCCAGCTTCTCATTGTATATGATAGGTCTTCAGGTTGTAATCGAATTCCTACTTCTCACTCCCTAATATCCAGTTCCAGTGCTGCTGGAACAGTCAGCTAGCCTTGAAAATGTTTAGAATAAAACAAGTGAGACCTTTCAACCACAGAGCTAGTCAAGAAAAGAAAAAGAACTTACACTATTAAAAAAATAATTTATTGGGCTATAAGACACAGTTAAGTATGCAGATTTTAAGCAACAGCTTAAATTGTTACATGTGTACACACACACATGAGTGCACACACTAACTGCCATCTAGATCAAGAAATGGTGTATTTCAACACCCCAACAAGCTCTCTTATTCCTTTTCCCCTTCAGTACCTACAGCTTTCCTCCCCCATCCCCCATCCCCTGGAACCCACTATTTCTAATTTTATTATCTTACTGGGGTTAATTTTGTCTGTGTTTGAATACAAGTGGACTCATCCAGTATGACTTCTTTGGTCTCTTTTTTCACTCATTAGTATTTATGCAGTTCATTCTTGTTACCTGCAGTAGTAGTTCTTTTTTTTTATATTGCTATCTAATTTTCCATTGTACAAATGTACCATGTTAGAAACTTGGCTTTTTGTCCATTAATGATTATTAAAATGAAACTGCCTTGGTTACCCTTGTATAAGTCTTTCACTGGTCATATGCATTCATTTTTTTCTTGAGTATATATTAGATTGGACCTTATGAAATTGCCATATTCATAGATCCCAAATGATAGACAATTAGTTGTTTCTTTTCTTTGTTGTTTGTTTTTTCAATTAGTTGTTTCTTATAGTTTGGCCTGTACCTAGGAATAGAATTGCTGGGTCACAGGGTATGTTCAGGCTTAGAAGATAAAAGCATCTTGTCTGTGTCTGGTGCTGTTTTGCACTCTCAGCTGTGAATGAGAGTTCCGTTTGTTCCACGTTCTCACCAATACTGGGCATCATCCAAGCCACTCTGATTGTGCAGAGCTGTTTTACAAATGAGAAAATGAAAGACATTATCCTAAGAAAGGTTGACGCTTTTACTGGATTCCAGTGGTCCAAAGAGCTCATTTTTGTACTGACGTTTGTTTTTTTCCCTCGTAGAAAATAGATGCACAAGCTATTGAAGAATTCTACGGGTTAACATCAGATATCTCGAAGAACTCTGAGTCTGGCTACATCCTTTTCTATCAGTCCCGGGACTGAGGGAACTGCGATGAAAAGAGACTTTCTGCCTCATTTCTTCTCTGGTTATTTGGGAAAGGATCAAGCACCGATTTTTCCAAGAAAAGAGAACTGCAGGAAGCTCAGGGGGGGCAGCAGCACACTTTGCACACAATAAAGCAAAGACCGTGGGTTAACACGCTCTTCCTATCCTGGTAGTTGATTGATTCGCTCAGGTATCATGCTGTCTGTGCAGTTCCGCACAAGGCAGTGAAATCAGAGATACCAGCTCCTCTTGTAAAACAGCCTTCCAGTAACCGACATGCATTTTCTCTTCCTTCATTGCACCAGTAGTGATTGAGCTCCTTGGGGGTGCAGCAGAGAGAACGGGAGTCTGTGCGAGGTTATACTGACGGTGGCAGGAGGTGATGCTGAACACGCTGAACATGCCGCACACGTGCGTGCCTGGGTTGGACACGTAGAGAGAGAACACTGGGTAGTCTTTTCGAGCGTAAACCAGAAATGCTTTTTGGGCCCAACACTTGCAGTCGCCTTCCTGATGTAAAGAGACTTAACAGATACTAGAATCCAGTGTCAGGAAGGCAAATACGTTTGCTTCTCTGAAGAAGCTTATAATCATATACAGTATATGTATATCTAGGGAACAATTGGTCAAAAGTGGCTTTTTGTTTCCCCAAGGGGAAAGACTGGCTTTGTAATTATAATTTTTTTCCTTATTTATTTTACTTAAAACTGGTAGAGTCTAAGTATTGTATGAAGTGCCCATGATTCTGTTGGTAAATTTGAGCATATTTTTATTAGTTTTTGTCAGTTTAATGAATCCTCTTGTTTG